GCTTTGAATATCTGCCTATGTTTTCCTGATCAGAGAGATTTTCATGAATTAAAATTTCAAATCCTATGACTTATTTTCCAAAATTAATTGGGTTTAAAATAAAGCTTCTTCCTTGAGTCACAAGTTTTGTGTAATAACTTTGTAGTGGGTTTCCATCCCACCTTAAACTGAATGAGTGGCAGGGTGGACCAACTGGGCCATGATCAGGACTACACTGGGCAGCCCATTCAATTCTGATCCTGTTAATAATCAGCTGACACACCACAATTAGCTATTTTCACTTGGCCTTGTTTTTGTGTCATTTTTCCTTCTGAAGAATTCATTTATTGTTCTTTTATTTACATGCTTAAAGTACATATAAGCATGGGTTCTGTCATTAATTATGATAAAAGAATTGTGTCACCAAAACTTGTTAAGCAGCCTTCCACCCGAACTAATTGCCCACCCCTGCCTTAAGGCTAAAACATTATTGACTGTCTCTCACCTGCACAGCTGTGATTTGCCACTAGAGGGCTGGTGAGCAGGAGCAGGACTAGAAACTACAGCTGTGAGTTGCCATTACCCAAATGAGGAGCCAGGACAGGAGTCTCTCCCTGCTCTAGGTAAGGGTTGTGTGAGAAATGGTTTGGAAGAGGGGCGGGAACATGAAGCTGGGAGGCAGAGACTTAATGAGATTGGTGGGTAATGAAATGGCAGTGATGGAAAGGGAGAGTGGGTGAAATGAAGGAAATGAGCCACTTAAGGATATAATAAGATGCTTAAAAAAAAGAATTTACAAATAAATTAAAGCAGGTCCCATGTTTTAATAAACTGGGATGTGGGGGTGCTGGCTGTGCTTCCCAGAGTGACTGGGATTTAGGAATAGTGAAGGAAGCTTCTTTTGTGGGGACCTACTGAGCCTGCCCTGGGAATGAAGCCACAGCTCATGGGGACACAACTTGGCCCCTAATGTGTTCCCTCCTCCCCACCACACCCCACCCCCAACCTTCTTTCTGGACTTGTCTGTGCCCTGCAACCTGGCTAGCTGATATGTGCTCTACAGTCATAGTTTCATAGTTGTTAGGGTCAGAAGGGACCTCAATAGCTCATTGAGTCCGACCCCCTGCCCTGGGCAGGAAAGAGTGCTGGGGTCATATGACCCCAGCCAGGTGCTTGTCCAGTCTCCTCTTGAATACCTCCAAGGTAGGGGATAGCATCACCTCCCTTGGAAGCCCATTCCAGATTCTGGCAACCCTTACCATAAAGAAGTTCTTCCTGATGTCCAACCTAAATCTGCTCTCTGTCAGTTTGTGGCTGTTGTTCCTGGTTATTCCAAGGAGTGCCTTGGTAAACAGAGCATCTCCAATTTCTTGCTGCTCCCCCCCCATGAATTTGTAAACAGCCACAAGATCCCGACTATTCTCTTCTGAAGGCTGAAGAGATCCAGGTCCCTCAGTCTCTTCTCGTAGGCTTTACCTGAAGGCTCCTAACCATAAGAGTGGCCCTCCTCTGGACCTTCTCAAGGTTATCCACATCCCTCTTGAAGTGTGGCACCCAAAACAATCTGTTTGCATGAGACTGCATCTCTAGGGGTGGAAGGTCAAACCCTTGGAGGTGGGAGAAGTTGATTTGGTGCCAGAATGGCCCCCTGGGAAGTACAGTTCAGGGGGTGGAAAGTTAGTCTACAGCTAAGAGTGGGGGAGGGGGACAAAGCTTCCTGGGATGCTGCAGGACTTCAACTTGGATGGCTCACCTGTGGGGAGGGGTCACACATTAATGCAACTCGAGCTGGGTAACACGGATCAGAGATAAACATGTCCTAGAGTGGCATAACTTTAAGCTGCCTAAAGTGTGCTTAAAACTAGTTTTAGGTGGTAATGTGTGGACAGTCCAGGGGCTAAGAGATCCAAGAGCTGCCTAAAATTAATGCATAGCAAGGCTCTAAATTAGCCAAGTCAGAACCTGACTCACTGAAAGAAAAGTAGCTAGGAAAAAAGAGATATTTACAATAAAGGGCAGAGTAACAATATAAGTAGCAGGCCAAGAAACTATTTCAATACTTAAGGGTGGAATGTAGCAAAACCACTCCAAATTTTAATGCTACTTAATCCAGGTTTAAATTGGAGAATTTGGCTACAAATGAGCTTGTTCACACACAACAATTAGAACCTAACAATTGCTGACCTTTTGAAAGGCTCCCTTTCTGAAAGGTTCCCAGTGTACATGTGTCCACACCTTCAGTCACTTTACTTCAATCCTGAATTTATAATTGTCCTGGCGAAAAAGTCTTTTGAGACAAAGTAACCAACCTAAGGCTATAAGTACTTTACACATAATTCCTCAAAGAAAAGTTCAACTGTTAACTTGATAATGCAAATTTGTATTTATGGTGAATAGCAACTTCTGTTTTATTATTAGAAATAACTGATACATTTTATCTTGATTCACTCAATTTACTATTCAGTTTAAACATCTATATTTAGTACCCCCAGGAATGCTTAACTAATAAGGTTTAGTTTACACTGCTGAAGACAATTCTGAATGGAAAAAAAACAATAATTAGAAGATTTTTTCTGATCTTAGTTGACTTAATGGCACCTGGTTCCTAGGAGCTGAAACAATGCTTTTCATTTTGCATAAATACCAAAACCCCTCCTGAATTCTGATGGTTTCAAAAGTACCCAAAAGCCCTTTTCTAATTCATCTGAACTATAAAGTTGGGAATAGAAAATAAAATACAAAGCATGCTTGGGATAGACTCTGACTATACAAGAGCAAATGCTAAAAGATAAATTAGGGCACATGATTTTTGCTACTATAGCGCATACTGTAAGTTTGAGAATCAAATGTGCTGTGAAGGAAACCACAAAACATATTACTATAGATCTTTACTGTTTTCTTTGAAAGGTATGTTATACTCCATGCATATTTTCTTTTGCTACGTGAAATCTGTCAGAGGACTAATCCCATGAAAACTGATTTCAAGACTCCTAAATACTGTATTACTGGCCATCCCCTAGGATATACTGATGTCTGTTCTATCCCTGAATTCGTCATGCAGCAGCCTTTCCTTTTTTTCCCCTGAAACTATTTCCAATATCTGTGAGATTATCTAAATCAGCAGTGCTCAACCTTTTTCTTATTTTTTTTTTTAAATACTCTGTCCAAACCTTAAAATCAGAAATGGGCTGAGGGCCAGGAGAAGGGGGAGGGGGGTTTGGTTACACCCACTTCGGCTTTGTGGCACATGTGCAGTGAACTCTCCAAGCTCACCAGCACATCAGAGAGGGCTCTGGCTCCAGAATCCAGAAACTGAATGCTAATGCCATTTGCCTCTTCCTCCCCTCCACCACCCTCCTATCGCTGAAATCTGTGGCAAGAGAAAAGAAGGAATTAGCCTTTCACATTGGCTCTGCAGCCTGCATCCAACCCCAGGTTGAGCACCACTTACTTAAATCATCATAGGCAGATCTAGGATTTTGGAAGGGGGAGTGTAGACAGTGGCACGTTATCCAACAGAACACATTTTTCTCCAGTTAAAAAGAAATTAGACACTTTACTAACATGCTAGGGGGCTAGCTATATATTATTCAGCTTAAGATGAAACCAAAACCAAGCAACTATTGGAATATGCATTAAGTTGCTAGACAATATACTAAGTTTAAAAAAACAAAACAATAAACTAGTCAAAAATAGTCAAAATAGTCCAACAATGTCATTAGTCCTGTAGTCACTAATGCCACTTCACCATTTATTGGTGACTTATTGGTAACTACTTACGGTAGTCACTTCACCACTTATTCAGATTCACAAAACAAAAGCTAACCTTGAGTATCTTGACAGTGTTTCTAATATTTCAGCAAGTCATTTCTACACCTGAGTTAGTATTACTACACCTGAGTTAAGGTTTTTAGCTAAAGCTAAATACAGTTTGAAGGGCTGGGAAATAAAAGATAGGCATTACCAGGAATGGCTAACAGACAGCAAAACTGCAGAAGAAAGGATAGTTTGAATAGTGGAGAACAAGATCATCAAAAAGATAGAGGGTCATTAACACCTGTGGAGTGGAAAGAGATTAGCAAGAATCAGGGAGATGATAATGAGCCATGAAGTCAACTGACTCTCTCAAAACTGCCTGAATAGAAATGCAGCTCCCTCTCCTTGGCAGTTAGTTTTAAAGTTTGGGTAAGGCAGGAGTCAAAGGGCAGCACCGGTTCTGCAGTACTGCATCATCTCTGTATGGCTTCTTGCCTTTTTGTCATGTATTTGGAACGGTTTTAGCCAAACATGTGCACCCATTCCAATTACCTATTACTTATTTGTTTTTCCATAAACTAAAAATATTAATATTGTACTGTTTTCTTAAACAAGCATTGGATTGTTCTAAAATATTTAAACCAAGGCATTTTCTCTAGTCTTCACTATTGGAAGCAGTGTAACTATTATATATATATATTATACACACACACACACACACACACACACACACACACAGAGTGTAACTGTATATTATAACTGCATTATCATTATCTTGACAGGCAAGGCCATTTCTGATACCTTTAACTGGACAAATTCTATAGCTGGGAGAGCTGATAGACAAGCTTTTGAGTATCAGGTGCCCTCCTAAGAGGGCCAGGTCAGGGCAGGTAAGTGACCTAGGGAAGGACGCCTGATACCTTAAACCTTGTCCAGGAGCTCTCCTAACTACAAAGTTGGTCCAATGAAAGGTCACAAAAAAGCCCTGCCTCCTGACATTTCCTGAACCACCATGGCTACAACACTCCAACACTACTACTGTCATTATCATGAAAACTTATCAACAATGGCATAAAATCTACTGCTCACACTTTACCACTACAGTTGATGACAGAGAAAATACTAATGACATTTTAAACTGTCATCCAAAGGTCCCGTTGTAAGCAAGAGAAAAAAATGATTATATTATTTCTATAATTGTTAAATCATGATTAAACATGAGTTTTAATTATAGAAAGCACAAATTTTATTAAACAAATTCTTACATCTGTACTTCTCTTCCAGAAGGCCCTTCGAAAGAGACATCAACCCAATCTTCAGGGACTGCACTCTTATTTTTCCTGTCCGACCACTGAAATTACATAAATGATTTAGAGACATTAAATGCACTTTAATATTACGGCAATGATTCATTCAAATGCAAAAGTGCTTATTAAATGTCAACTTAAAAAACAAAACGAAAACACAGGCCTTTAAAGCTGCAAATAACACTAATGGTTCTACCAGATGTTCAATTAAAGGTGCCATGGGATCTGATCTATGATCCCAACAATCATGCCTCTTTTACCAAGTTACAATGGGCTCCTCCTTTTGCACTGGCAAGTAGCAAGCCAGTCAGCTGGAGTTAAGGGCTCTGATATACTCTTGGGCCTGGGAGCTCTGATCAACTGATTGCCACTCCCAGTGAGGCTGGGAGTAGCAGACAGCTGAATTACACTGCTAGGCTTGTAGGTACATCGGAGTCAAGGGCTGCAGTGTGCCTCTGAGGCTGGGAGCCCCAAGTAGCTGACAGACCTAGCCACCTATTCAATTTAAGATGCAATGGGAACCAGCCACAAAGGTGCTACACATATTTTGTGCGATAACTCTGTGGCTTATTCCTTGTTTAATTACACAATTAAGTGCATGAGTATGTGGCTGGATTACTACTTAAAATGCGATTAATCGGTTACTCATGACTAAGAATTAACCTTTATGAATACTCTTAAAACTTAGGTAACATGTCTCAACATTTTGCATTACCCCCCAAAAGTACTGAAATTCAGCACTGTGAAATCCTAGTGTAATTTAATAATGCAATCTATACATCAAAATGTATACATAAGCACACAGCAGGAAAGCACATTGCCCAGCATGAGACATGGAGTACAAAATAAAGCTGAGTTCTCATACTGTACAGATTCATTTGCTTGCTTGCCCACTGTGTTTCTTCCCTCCATTTAAAGCAGTAGAATGTATAGGCACACCAGGACATAAACATCTCAGCATACATGATAATTAGGAAATGTGGAGTCATTCTCTTTTCTAAGCAATGTGACTTCAGGCTCATGCTGTCTGACATTTAAAACAAGATTAAGGATACCAAATGGACTCCAAAGGATGCAATTTAAATGTGTAAGACAAAACCTGTTCACAACTGGTGTTAATGTGATAAAACCCAGGAGAAAAGGACAGTTACCCAGGACAGTTCAAAATTTCTTTACAAAAACTGTTGGTTTCTGCTTTTAGTAATGACCCTTCCCAAGGCTGAAAGACTGCTGTTTGGCTTTCGGTTAAACACATGGGGTATGAGAGAAGTTATCAAAGTGTGTGTGGCTATACTTAAAAACTGTGTCAAAGGAACATTATTAAAATCACAAAGTCAAGAACGCTAAAGTTATGAAATGCCAGAAATAACACTGGCCAAGCAATCTTAGTTCAGCTCCTTTGTGTCACATATCATACAGTCTTTAATTACAAAATCACCTATTTTTTCCTCAAAGAACCTCTGTCTCATTCACTATATTTAACATTTCTGCGATTCTTCTTTTTTCAACATTTGGTCCAAGGCTTTATTTAACATACAATTACTGCACTGAATCTAGTAGCATAGCAGGCAACCATTAATCCTTTTGGATCATGGTGTGTGTGTGAGAGAGGTCTAACTCAGACCTTCAACGTGTATGCCTCGGCAGGAGGATGGAGGAATGGAGGCTACCCAGACCTTCCATCTCACCTTTGGACCACTGAGACATAACCCAAAGGCCAGACATGTGGTGCCTCAATGGTTGTAGTTACGTGTGCATCCAGGAATTTAACCCAGGTCTTCTGCATAGCAGGCAACGATTATACCACTGAACCAAAACAGTGAGCTGCTGCACTGAATACAAAATTACTAATTTCCTCCTAGACATTTTTATGCTGTTTTCACCATAGTATCTAAATATTTCACAAAGATTAATGAATTGTCTTCAAAATCACCACCTTGTTTTGTGCAATAAGTAGCATTGTCATCTCCATTTTACAGGAGTAAAGAGCTTCAGAGAAATTAATACAATTATAGAGAGTGGCCACAGATGTGCAGTGCCTAGCTTGAAGCAGCCGCAGTCTGACTTCAAGGGTAATCTTCTTATAAAAGTTTATATGATTTTATAAACTTTACTTTTACTTCACGTATAATTCTTCAAATGATTTTATAATACTTTACATGATTTCTGTCAAATGGAAATACAACCATAATTCTAGCATTTCCCAATTCTCAAGTATTTAATTTTCCATCTCAGTAAAAATCTTTTAACGGAGATCATTACACTAAAAAAATGGCTTTAAAAAATAAACTGAAAACACAGAAATTACATTGTGTGTCATCAGACCCACCTGAGTCACCAGCAGCTGGACAAATCTGGATCTACCACACAGTCCTTTGCTATTTGAGCTAAGCAAGTAACGGATCACAACACTAGGTCAGCTGACCAGCACTAGAGGCAAGTAAGACACTAGGCTAGCAGAGTTTACTAGTATTTGCTGACAATAGAGGAAGGGTGAGATCTGGAAGACTCAGGTTCCATTCCAGCCTCTGGACGAGACTGCCCACCTCCAACACCCCTCTATGCTTCCTCATGCAACCCTCTCTCTCTCAAACCTGCACAGCTCTTTTCTCATCCCTTAGACCAGTGGTACTAAGCCTCTGACCCATGGGTCTCATTTGGTCAGTGGAAGCATGTCATCTAGCCCATGCAGCTCCCCGTGGGTTCAGAAGTTTGGCAGCAGAACGGTAGCAGCATTAATTGCTCCCAGAGCCAAGGCAATTCATGTTGCCACTGCACCTATGCCACCCAATTTCTTGACCCATGGGGAGCCCCATGGTCCAGATGACAGCCTTGTGAGCCAGAGCAAAGTGCTCTGCACCAGATTGTGTGAGAAGAATCCCCCCTTCCTCCACAACCATCACTGATCTTTCCTGGGACTCTTCATGAAAATTTTAGCATTTCCTCTACCCCCTATCTCCTGTCCCTTTTCTTTTTCCCAGCCAGAGCTAGTCCTATTCCCCATAACCTGGCTCCTCATCAAATCCCCTTCCTTCTTCTCTCCATGCAATTCATTTTCAGTTCCACTGTCCTTGCCCAATCAGGACTAGACTCCCCCTGAGCTTTTCATCTATTTTCTGCCCCTTTTCCCCAACCCCCAGAGCCAAAAAACAAGAGAAAGTGAAAGCTAGCATTTTCCAAGGGGTGCCCTGAGTCTAAAAAGGGTGAAAACCACTCTGCTGGAAGCTGCTTTGGAGCAAAGTTGACTGTCGTCAGTCGAAGAAAAGCAAAAAGCTTGCCAGCATGCCAACTGGATGGCACTGACATGTGACCTACCAGAGTGGAAACTCTGCTACTCTTCAGGTTGAGAGCCCCTTCTCATTTAAAGTACCTTTCTAAGTGCTTAAACATCTACATGCCTCTCTGGATACATCTGAGCATTTTTCTGAAATCCTAGTCATGTGAAATGGGATATAGAAGACCCTGCCCCTGCAGGTGCATGAGTGGGGTGGGGTAGGGAAGGGAGATGTGTCACTTCCTGCTCTTCCAAATGGACTGGAATTTGAGAAGCCTTGTCCTACAGGGGCGGTGAGCCTCTTGTTCTACTGGCCTGCACTCTCTTTTGAGGGATACAGGATCTGTGGAGAGCTGGGCACCACTGCATCCCAAGTGCAAACCTACAGAGTAAATGATCACTCACTCAAGTTACATTTCTCTCTCTGTTAAAAAGAAAAGAAAAGAAAACAAACAGATGAACCTGAGAAATTTGCTGCTGCAGACTTAAAAGCGGAGGTATTTTACATCATTCCACATGTTAAGTTAAGCAAAACTCAAAACTTCTGAAAACCATGCACCTCACCTCTGTAACCTTAACTCTGCCCTCTGGAAGTGATACCCAAATACACCCATAACACATACTAAGACTCTTCCTTTGACTTGCCATAAACAGTCTATCTATATCTGCTCTGCATTTAAACATATATCCCACTCCACAACCCCCTTGTCTTTTCCACATAACGCTTTCAAACACTATACTTTCACTTAGCCAACATTAAATTGACAGAGCAGATTCATCTAGCTGCAAACAATCCTGAATGGCAAGATGAACCCTGCTATTGACAACATCTGCACAATTCAGGGCTGGACACTGAATCAGTCTATCAAGGTATATCTGTTCTCCTTTTCTTTGATCAAGCTCGCAGAGGTCAATCAAAGGGGGTCACTTCCTCTCTACCAACAACTTTCCCAGAGTGCTTCATACAAGAATCACAGCTCTTCCAAACTGGTCCAACTAATCCCTCCACTAGTCAAACATACAGCTATACCTAATACAGTAAGTACTGCTGAAGAACTTTCAGGTAATTCCTCTTGGGAATGACTTGCTGTCAGAGGGAAACAACATTAAGGTTGCCTGCATGTGCAGGCAACGTTAACTCTTCAAATCCTGGCTTTCAGAGGGTAGGCTGAACTGGATGTGACATTTTGGGAATGAACAAAAGATACCAGGCCATCTTAAAGCTGCATTATCCTATTTTTTTTTTGCCACTGACTGGTTGTAAATATAAAATCTTGGGAAAAAAAATCCCTGTCAGTTTTACTCCTACAAACCCATAACTGTTCAGAAGAAGACTAAACCACAAGTGACTAATAATGAGGAGCCATGAGGAAGAGAGCTTGGTGTATTATGGAGAAGTTTGGGCATACAACGTTGCCTAGTATACACATAATGGACAACTGGACCTACAGAACAGAAGTCAAAAAGAGCACACATTTCTACACATACACATAGAGAAAAGATTCCCATTGTCACAAAAGCAAGAATACTGGAAAAGGTTAAATGTCTTTCCTGAATACAACAATCTCCTATAGAAGAGAAAGGTCAACAGAAAACCCTTAAACCTTTAGTGTGGATGTTATGGCTGCGTCCACACAAGGCACCTCAAAACACACCCCATGCACGTGATTTGGTTCTCTGCATTGCATATTTGCAGCACAGAGCCAAATTTAGATACTGGGAAATTCCAGTACAAAAAAAAAAAAAAAA